GTCCAGAGTGGCCTGAGCAGCCGCCTCTGCCCTGAGAAGGTCTTTTGTTCCAGCTCCCCGTGACGCCCCCAGCCCAGCCCATGAGGCAGGCCTCCCTGTGGCTTCCCGTGGCAGGCAAGCCTGACTCCGAGGCTGGAGCTCTTTTCTAACAGTAATAGTAAGAAAATAGCAGCAGCCACTCATGAGTCCCGTGCCAAGCACACTGCAGACATCAGTTTTTTTTTTCTTATAGAGATATGGTCTGTTTCTGTCACCCAGGCTGGAGTGCAGTGGTGTGATCATAGCTCACTGTAGCCTCGACCTCCCGGGCTCAAGCGGTCTTCCTGCCTCAGCCTCCCGAGTGGCTGGGACTATAGGCCTAGCCACTATGCCAGGCTAAGTTTTTTGTATTTGTAGTAGACACAGGGTTTCATCATGTTGCCTAGATTGGTCTCAAACTCTGGTCTCAAGCAATCCTCCCGCCTTGGCCTCCCAAGGTATTGAGAGTATAGATGTGAGCCACTGAGCCCAGCCTCTCGTTTTTGTTTTCTTCCTTTTGCCCTGTGACTGTTTTCCTGATCATTGGTCGGTCTGGGACCTGGACAGAGCTACTGCCGACTCCTGACTCGCACTGGAGCTGAATGAGACCTTTATATTCTCTCCTCTGGGACTCACTCATTCATCCAATAAGCATTCATTGGGAAGTGAGCCCTTCTTGTGTGCATTTAGGCACTGATCAGACATTTTGGGAGTCCCCTCTGTGTGAGGGTCTCTGTGATCACTAGCTATGGGGCTGCTCTCTTTCAGTTTTCCCATCTGTAAAATGGAAGTAATCGTTGGACCTACCTCCTAAGGCTGTTAGGAACCTTGGGAGAGGTAATGTTTTGCAAAAGTAGTTAGAAAAATGCCTAATGTGATCTTGGCATGGTGCCATGAGCCTGTAGTCGCAGCTACTCTGGAGGCTGAGGCAGGAGGATCGTTTGAGCCCAGGAGTTCGAGGCAGCAGTGAGCTATGATTGTGCCACTGAACTCGAGCCTGGAAGACAGAGTGAGACCCTGTCTCTAAAAAGAGAAAGAAAAATGTCTGATGTGTAACAGACGCTCAGTAAATGCCATTGTTCTTATGGGAGGACTGGTGGAAGGGGCCCAGTGAGGGGGTTTCCCAGCCGTTGCCTGGACAGTGAAGGACCTGGAGTGGGTGCAGCTGTTCTGAGGAAGGCTCCTGCCAGGGTTTGGCCCTGCAGTTGGGCTTCAAGACTCTGACATACAGGGCTGCGCAGAAGGTAGGATGGCCCAGGGGGCGGGGGAGTTTGGTTCATGCTGGTTGCCATGCATCTGCCGGGAGAGCACGAATTTGCAAATCCAACTAATCTCTTGCATTCATATGTTCATTCATTCAAGAGACATTCATTGAGCTCCTGCTGTATGCTGGGAGCTGGAGATGAAGCAGGGAATGACTCATAGAACTCAGTCTGGTAGAGAGATAGTCACTAATAAAAGCATCCTGTCAAGTGATAGTGTGACCAGTGTGCTGAAGGTCAAGTTCAGTTGGGAGCTCAGAAGAGGCTTCTCTTATGTGCAATTGGAAGCAGACAGGGCAGAGGGAATGGCTCATGCCAACACCCACAGGCAGCTGGCGTGACTAGAGGCAGATCGTGTAGGTGGGGCAGGAGCCTGGCTCTGGAATCAGAGCTCTCTGGGCATCCTCCAAGCCACGAGGGCAGTGCCTGTCTCACCTGTGTGAAGGCTGGGTATGGGGAACAGTAGGATTGACCAAGAACAGGTGCCCTCATGCAGGGGTAAGACCCTCCCCTTCAGGGACAGGAAGAACATGGTGGCCAAGGGCAGATGTGGCCCCTCCCTCTCCCTTCCCATCTGCCTGACAGCTTTTACTGACTACTTACTGCAAAGCACCTACTGTGTGCGGGTCCCAAGGACCCTGTGATGTACAAAACTGTCGACTATAGCAGGGCACAGTGACTCATGCCTGTAGTCCCAGCACTTTGAGAGGCCAAGGTGGGAGGGCTGCTTGAGCCCAGGAGTTTGAGACCAGCCTGGGCAACATAGTGAGACCCCATCTCTACAAAAAAATACAAAAATTAGCCAGGTGTCGTGGTGCATGCCTGTAGTCCTAGCACTTTGGGAGGCCAAGATGAGGATAGCTTGAGCCTGGGAGGTCTAGGCTGCAGTGAGCCGTGATTATGCCACTGTACTCCAGCCTGGGTGACAGAACAAGACTCTGTCTCAAAAAAAAAAACAACAAACAAACCATTGTCGACTCTGCATGGCCCCCTTCCAGCGAGGGCAGAGGCACCTACTTCTGCTTTTTGGGGTCTCTTGTGGAGATCGGCCATGGGGGCTCCACCATGGCCTCATGTGGCAGGGGCACCCTTCATTGCCACTGCCCTGCAGACATGCCCAGCGGGACATGGCCACATGCAGAGACGGTGCCTGTGGAGGGGTGTGTGGCAGAGAGAACCCCATTTGCAGGTTCGCATCTCCACCTTGCTTTCCCTTTCATGGGTTCTCTACAGACACTTTGCAAGGTGGATGCCATGCTGCTACCTGGTTGCCAGATAAGGAAATCCAGGTTCAGAGAGGTTGAGTCAGGTGTCAGGAGCCACACAGCCAATACATGGCACCCTTTGTAATGTGAGCCCTGGGAGAGCAGTGTTCGTATGTGCTGTTCACCATGGTATCCTGGGGCCTAGCTTGGTGTCTGGCACACAGTAGGCCCTCAGTAACACCTGAAGGGAGGATGAAGGAGGGCATGGTTGGAGGCAGTAATTGTACCCAGGCCCCTGTGGCTCTGGCTATTGTGCAGCCACTACCCCTGCCCAGGGAGAGAGTCACTGGAGTGGCACCGCTGTTCATTCAGGGTGTGCTGATATCAGGGATCTGGGGCCCCGTTTTGTGCCCGAGTAGGGAGAGCTTTTCTTCTCCATCTTGAAGAACAGACGTGGACATGTGGTCGCCAGCAGGGGCCCAGGCCCAACCAGGGTCATGAAGAAGGAAGGATGGTGTCCACAGAGGTCCCAGCTGTTCTGCACCGCGGACAGCAGAGGAGTGGGGGATCTCAGTGCCATTCTGGTGATGTTGTGTCTAAGGAAAGGCCCTCTGGCCACGGGAGGAGAAGGATGCCCCAGTTGAGATGGGCAGGCAAAGGTCTGCCAGTCCTGAGGGTCCCCCGTCAGTGCAGGAAATCCCTCTGGACCCCTTGTGACTTTTGTTAATTTATTCCTTTTTATTTTTTGTTTTATATTTATTTTTGTTTTTGTTTTTGGTGTGTGATTTTTTTTTTTTTCCCCCAGGACAGAGCCTTGCTCTGTCGTCCAGGCTGGAATGCAGTGGCATGATCTCAGCTCACTGCAACCTCTGCCTACCAGGTTCAAGTGATTCTCCTGCCTCAGCCTCCCAAGTAGCTGGGATTACAGGCACGCACCACCACACCCAGCTAATTTTTGTGTGTTTAGTAGAGACAAGGTTTCACCATGTTGGCCAGGCTGGTTTCGAACTCCTGACCTCAGGTGATCTGCCCACTTCAGCCTCCCAGAGTGCTGGGATTACAGGTATGAGCTGCTGCGCCTGGCCCGTTTTATATTTATTTTATAGACACCAATAATATACTCTCATTGCAACATGGAAATAACAATAATAGCAGACAGTCTTTATTAAGCATTTTCTATGTTCTAGGGCTTTATGTCTATCAATTCATGCTCATAATATGCCTATGAAGTAGGCATGATCATGGTTCCCCTCTTACAGATGGGGAAACTGAGGCAGAGAGTAGTCACATAAGTCACTTAAGGTCCCATAACCAATAAGTAGTGGTTGCTGGGCTTTTTTTTTTTTTTTGAGACAAGGTCTTGCTCTGTAACCCAGGCTGGAGTGCAGTGGCACCATCTCAGCTCACTGCAACCTCCACCTCCTGGATTCAAGCATTTCTCCTGCCCCAGCCTCCTGAGTAGCGGGACTACAGGTACGCGCCACCACAGCCAGCTAATTTTTGTATTTTCAGTAGAGACGGGGTTTCACCATGTTGGCCGGGCTGGTCTCTACCTCCTGAACTCAAGTAATCCACCCACCTGGGCCTCCCAAAGTGCTGAGATTACAGGCATGAGCCACCGCGTCTGGCTGGTGCTGGGATTTGAATCCACATTCCAGAATCTGTGTTCTTAGCCATCCTTGCTAGAGATAAGTAGTAGCAAGCTTCTTGGTTACTTCCCCGCCATCCCTACCATCCCCACACCCCAATTCTGATTCCTCTCCAGAAATACCCACTGTTTCAGGATGGGTTTGTTTCTGCCAGACCTTTCTTGCCCACCATTTACAAAATGTTTGTGTACACATAAACATTAGTAGTTTGGTTTTATGTATGTTCATGTAAATGGGATCGTCTAGCGTGTCTTGTTCTGCTGTTTGCTTTTTCACTTAGTGAATAGCCCTGCCCTGGAGCTCTCCCAGAGGTGGGGGGGTGGGTCTTCCTCACCCTTTCCCCCTGCTGCAGAGTCTTCCAGCCTATAGATGGGCCAGATTCTTTCATCAGTCTCCAACTGGGGGCATTTAGGTTGTCTCTTAGAGTTTTTCCCCATTATAAATGTTGCAGCAGGAAATATGTAGCAGAGAGCAAGTATTTCTCTTGAATACTTAAAAGTGGGATTCCTAGAGCCTAATTGCTCTGGCTAGCACTGTCAGTACTGTGTTAAATAGAAGTAACCAGAGTAGGCATCCTTTTCTCATCCCTGGCCTTAAAGGAAAAGTTGTCAACTTTTCACCATTAAGTGCAATGTTAGCTGTGTGCTTATCATGTAGGGTCTTTATTTTATTATTATTATTATTTTTTGAGACAGGGTCTCATTCTGTTGCCTGGGCTAGAGTTCAATGGCTGATCATGGCTTACTGCAGCCCTGACTTCCTCAGGCTCCCAAGTAGTTAGGACTACAGGTGCGAGTGCTACAATGCCAACTCATTTTTGTGTTTGTCTTTTTGGAGAGATGGGCTTTTGCCATGTTGCCCAGGCTGGTCTCAAACTGGGCTCAAGCGATCCTCCTGCCTCAGCCTCCCAAAGTGCTGGGATTACAGGCGTGAGCCTCCGAGCTCAGCCTTTATATAGGGTCAGTGTGTTAAGTACAACATATCATCTATGCTTAATTTGTTGAAAGTTTTTATAATAAAGTTATGTTGAATTTTGTCAAATACTCTCCCTGCATCTATTGAAATGATGATATGGTTTTTGTCCTTCAAAAGCAGGATTCCAGAGTCTAGAATCAATTCTGCCAAGTTGGCCATGCCCCTTACAGAATGCCACTTGGTAGGAGAGTGTGTGTTTCCCTGCATCTTCACCAGCACTGGGTGTTATGGTCGTGTCGGATTTCTGCTGTGGTGCGCGGTGTGTGACGGGCCCTCACCTGCTTGCCCACCTGCTCACTCCTTGTTGCCCCCCCACCCACATGTCTTTCAGCCCCGCCGCACCACCTGGGTCTCCACCATGAACGGGCCTGCCCTGCAGCCCTCCTCGGCCTCCTCCCCGCCCTCGGCCTCCCCGGCGCCGGCCCCGCGGGGCTGGAGCGAGTTCTGTGAGTTGCACGCCGTGGCGGCGGCCCGGGAGCTGGCCCGCCAGTACTGGCTGTTCGCTCGCGAGCATCCGCAGCACGCGCCGCTGCGTGCGGAGCTGGTGTCGCTGCAGTTCACCGACCTCTTCCAGCGCTACTTCTGCCGGGAGGTGCGCGACGGCCGCGCGCCGGGCCGCGACTACCGGGACACAGGCCGTGGGCCCCCCGCCAAGGCTGAGGCGTCCCCGGAGCCAGGCCCCGGCCTCGCCGCCCCTGGCCTGCCCAAGGCCCGCAGCTCTGAGGAACTGGCCCCGCCGCGGCCGCCCGGGCCCTGCTCCTTCCAGCACTTTCGCCGCAGCCTCCGCCACATCTTCCGCCGCCGCTCGGCCGGGGAGCTGCCAGCGGCCCACACCGCTGCCGCCCTCGGGACCCCCGGAGAGGCTGCTGAGACCCCCGCCCGGCCCGGCCTGGCCAAGAAGCTCCTGCCCTGGAGCCTGGCCCGGGAGCCGCCACCCGAGGCGCTGAAGGAGGCGGCGCTGCGCTACAGCCTGGCCGACGAGGCCTCCATGGACAGCGGGGCGCGCTGGCAGCGTGGTAGGCTGGCGCTGCGCCGGGCGCCGGGCTCCGATGGCCCAGATGGCCCCGACCGCGTGCTGGAGCTCTTCGACCCACCCAAGGTAAGTAAGCCCTGCTCGCGGGGTTGCGCACTGTGCTGCGCCCTTCGCCTTCACCCTGGGGAGAGAGCCGGCTGGGGAGGTGTGATGGCTTTCCAGCTGGTGGCCACAGAGTGCCCAGAGGGAACTAGGCCCTCTTAAAAAAGAACTTTTAGGCCAAGTGCAATGGCTCATGCCTGTAATCCCAGCACTTCGGGAGGCCGAGGCAGGAGGATCGCTTGAGCCCAGGACTTCGAGACCAGCTTGGGCAGCTTAGCGAGACCCTATCTCTATAAAAAATTAGCCAGGTGTGGTGGTGCGTGCCTGTGGTCCCAGCTGCTCAGGAGGCTGAGAAGGGAGGATGACTTGAGCCCACGAGGTGGAGGCTGCAGTGAGCCGTGATCATGCTACCACACTCCAAGCCTGGGTGACAGAGTAAGACCCTGTCTCTAAATAAATAAAATAAAAAAGAACTTTTTATTTTTGAATTTTAGATTTACAGGCCAGGTGCAGTGGGTCATGCCTGTAACTCCAGCATTTTAGGAGGCCAAGGTGGGCAGATCATTTGAGGCCAGGGGTTCAAGACCCGCCTGGGCAACATAGTGAATCCCTGTTTCTACTAAAAATATAAAAAATTAGCTGGGCACAGTGGCGCACACCTATAATCCCAGCTACTTGAGAGGCTGAGGCAGGAGAATCACTTGAACCTGGGAGGGAAGGTTACAGTGAACCAAGATCACACCACTGTAGTCCAGCCTTGGTGACAGAGTGAGAGTCGGTCTCAAAAAAAAAAAAATATATATATATTTTAGACTTACAGGAAAGTTCAAAAATAGTAGTGTTCCTTTACACATGGTACCCAGCTTCACCGAAGGTTCATATCTTACGCTGCTGTGTACATTGGTTGTAGCTAAGGAACCAGCACTGGTACATCACTATTAGCTAAACGCCACTGTTCCTTTGGCTTTGCCAGTTTTCCTCTAATGTCCCTTTTCTGTTCCAGCTCGCCACCCAGGATACCACATGAAGTTTAGTCGTTACGTCTCCTTAGGGGCCTGCTGGCTGTAATAGTTTCCAACCCTCTATTGTTGATAGCCTTGGCAGTTTTGAGGAGTACCAGTCAAGGATTTTGTACAATGTCCAGGGACACCTTTTTGGCTTCCCATTTGGGTGTCATATGGACTGGTAGCAGGTCACTCTGAGATCCTTGAAAAGCCTGACTCGGACTGGCGTTGACAGATTGTTATTTTATTTCCAGAGGGCTCAAAACCATCAGAGAATTTCTCTGCACCTCCTGTGCCTTGGTGATGTTTTGCAAGTTAAAAAAAATTTGTCCTTTGGCGAAACCCCATTGCTACAAAAATTATGAAAATTAGCTGGGCGTGGTGGTGTACGCCTGTGGTCCCAGCTGCTCTGGAGGCTGTGGTGGGAGGATCACTTGAGCCCAGGAGGTCAAGGCTGCAGTGAGCCAAGATCGCGCCACAGCACTACAGCCTGGGTGACAGAGCGAGACTCTGTCTCAAAAAAAAAAAAGTTCTTTTCCTTCACAGCTGGCTTAATTCCTACTGTGCTGTTGAGGCTGAAAGGTCACTGTGTTCTACTCACCTGACAGGCTCCATCTTTGACTCAGGTATGCATGACAGGACCATATAGCTTTCATCTAATTGCTCTCTCTTTGGGATCCTGTTATGTGGTAGGACCTTACTCTAGAGCATGAGCAAAACCGATGTGATACTGGCCCTGAGGGGCTCACGATGGGGGTGGAGGAAACCTACGGTTACTCTTTCATTCATTCGACAGATATTTATGGAGCACCTACTATGTGTTAGGCACATTCTGGGGGACCAGGCGGTCTAGTGGAGGCTATTGAGGAAATAAACCCACAAATGAACATGGAATTAAAAATAGTAAATTGTGTTCTAAAACTGGTAAATTGTGTTCTAAAGGAAAAGCAATGGGGTCTCTGGGAGGATAACTGAGGGGTCCCGGTTTGGTGGTTTGGGAGAGTCATCCAAGAATCCTTTGAAGTAACCTTTTCAAACTTGACTGTGGCGTCACATGCAGACCTGAAAGTATGTGAAGTATGAAACACATCTGAAGCTCTGTGTTTCCGTGTGTGTGCAATGCAAGTGACGAGCACCCCAGAGGGCTCCTTCATGCCTCCCCCAGGCCAGTGCCCCGTACCCCCATACATACCGCCTCTTATCACCACAGGTTCGATTTCTCTGTTCTTGAATGTCATGTGAGTGGAATCACGCAGTAGGTTTCCTTTATTTTATTTTATTATTTATTTTGAGACAGGGTCTCACTGTGTCGCCTAGGCTGGAGTGCAGTGGTGTGATCATGGCTCATTGTAGCCTCAACCTCCCAGCCTCAGGTTATCTTCGTGCCTCAGCCTCCCCAGTAGCTGGGATCACAGTCACGCGCCACCACTCGCAGCTAATAAATAGGCTGCCTTTTATGTCTGGCTCGTTTTACCCAGCATAATGTTTTAGAGATTGATCACATTGATCATACGTGTCAATGGTGTCTTCCTTTTTTTTTTTTTTTTTGAGACAGGGTCTTGCTCTGTCACCCAGCTGGAGTGTAGTGGCTCGATCTCAGCTCACTGCATCCTGTACCTCCTGTCCTCCTGGGCTCAAGCAGTCCTCCCACCTCAGCCTCCTGAGTAGCTGGGACCACAGGTGCCTGCCACCACACCCAGCTAACTTTTGTATTTTTGAGGGAGATGGGATTTCACCATGTTGCCAATGTTGGTCTTGAACTCCTGGGCTCAAACGATCCCCCCACTTTGACCTCCCAAAGTGCTGGGATTACTGGCACGCACCACCGTGCCCAGCCTGGTTTGTTTCTTTTGAGTACTGAATAGATTCCATTGCACAGATGTCTTCATGTCCCACAACTGATTTATCCCATCCTCTGATGAATATTTGGGTTGTTTCTATTTTGAGTTATGAATAAGGCTGTTATGAAGTTTGCATCTAGGTCTAAGTATGAACACACGTCCTTTCATTTCTCTCAGGTGGATTCCTAGAAGTGGCATTGCTCAGTCATAGAGTAGGTGCATGTTTACTTTAGAGAAACTGCCAGACTTTTCCCAAAGCAGCTGCACCATTTTGTATTCCACCAGCAGTGGGCGAGAGTTCTGGGTGGTTCCGCTTCCCCACCAGCACTTGAGCACTTGGTGGGTTTTTTTTGTTTTTTGTTTTGTTTTTGAGACGGAGTCTCGCTCTGTGGTCCAGGCTGGAGTGCAGTGGCACAATATGGGCTCACTGCAAGCTCCACCTCCCAGGTTCAAGCTGATTCTCCTGCCTCAGCCTCCCAGTAGCTGGGATTACCGGTGTGCGCCAGCACGCCCAGCTGATTTTTGTATTTTTAGTAGAGATGGGGTTTCACGGTGTTGGTCAGGCGCTTGGTGTTGAGTCACTGGTGGGTGTTTTCCCGGATCCCAAGGTGGCTTTACTTTGCATTTCCCTGATGACTCAGAAGTTAAGCACCTTTTCATATGTTTATTGGCCATTGGAATTTGGTCGTTTGTGAAGTACATGTTTTTATTGTCTGTCTAGCCTTTTTTAAATTGATTTGTAAAAGTCGTTATATATTTTGGACAATTTCTTTGCGTTTTAAATGTCATTTCCTACCTTTATGGGCTGGCTTTTCAAGAAAGCAGTTTTTTTTGTTTTGTTTTGTTTTGTTTTGTTTGAGACGGAGTCTCGCTCTGTTGCCCAGGCTGGAGTGCAGTGGTGTGATCTCAGCTCACTGCAACCTCTGCCTCCTGGGTTCAAGTGATTCTTCTGCTTCAGCCTCCTGAGTAGCTGGAATTATAGGCGCATGCTACCATGCCTGGCTAATTTTTTATATTTTTAGTAGAGATGGGTTTTTGCCATGTTGGCCAGGCTGGTCTTGAACTCCTGACCTCAGGTGATCTGTCCACCTTGGCCTCCCAAAGTGCTGGAATTACAGGTGCGAGAACACCACGCCTGGCCAGGAGGACACTTTTCATCCTAAGTAAATCCTAAGTAAATCACTTACTTTCATCCTAAGTAAATCACTGGGCCTTCCAGGCAGAAGGAACAGCATGGGCAGAGACCCAGAGTAGAGAATGTATTTAGCATGTTTTGAAGAAAGGACAATATGAAGAGGCCAGTGTGGTGGAAGCACAGAGAGGGAGATGGGGAGCAGGGAAGTACATGTGGGTGGAGGACACTGGGAACGGAAGGACTTAGTGTTTTATTCCAAGCACAATCAGAAGCTGTTGGGAAAACGCAAGCACAGATAAAAACGGTTTTCTCATCATTTGTTAAAAATCTTGAGGCTGTGACACCATGAAAGACAAATAACGGTCTCAATACATGATCTTATCTGTGCAACACTGTGGGGTTCTTTTTTTTTTTTGGAGACAGAGTCTCGCTCTGTTGCCCAGGCTGGAGTGCAGTGGGTGCGGTCTTGGTACACTGCCAGCTCTGCCTCCCGGGTTCACGCTATTCTCCTGCCTCAGCCTCTTGGGTTGCTGGGACTACAGGCACCTGCCACCACGCCCGGCTAATTTTTTGTATTTTTAGTAGAGATGGAGTTTCACCGTGTTAGCCAGGATGGTTTCAATCTCCTGACCTCGTGATCCGCCCGCCTCGGCCTCCCAAAATGCTGGGATTACAGGTGTGAGCCACCGGGCCCGGCCGGAGTTCTTATCTTTGAAAAACAACTTCTGTGGCTGGGCGTGGTGGCTCATGCCAGTAATCCCAGCACTTAGGGAGACTGAGGCAGATTACCTGAGATTGGGAGTTTGAGACTCACCTGGCCAACATGGTGAAACCCCATCTCTACTAAAAATTATCTTGGTGGCCAAGTGTGTGGCTCATGCCTGTAATCCCAGCACTTTGGGAGGCTGAGGCAGGCGGATCACCTGAGGTCAGGAGTTCGAGACCAGCCTGACCAACATGGTGAAACCCCATCTCTACTGAAAATACAAAATTAGCCGGGGGTGGTAGTGTACGCCTGTAATCCCAACTACTTGGGAGGCTGAG